GCAACCTGTCTCCACCACGTGCACAGCCAGCTCACAGCACCAGCACCGGCACCCGGCACCAAAGCGCGCACAGGCAACTCATTGTTATTTGAAGTAAGAACCCCATAGTTTCGCTATCTGGGGAACTACCTCAGAGTATTGTCAACATCTGGTCGACAAACGTGGATGTTGAATAGATTCTTGGCAAGGAATTGTGCCCAGATCCCCCAAACCCTCGACCTGCCATAAATCTTTGCAGGGCCAAGTGGGACCCACTTGGTAAAGTGGGAGAGTTTGCATTTGCAAATGAGAATATCACTCGACTATATAATATGACCTATAGAATCATGTGGAACCTCTCTGGTGGAGTATCTCTTGCCTCTATTATGTTTGAATCGTACGCAAATGTCCAACTGTGTCCATTACAAAAGGAAAATAGCTCATCATTTTGGCATCCTTGCTGTTCATTACCATTAACTTCCTACTTGGTCCCTGCTTGTAGTTGGAACAAGGTTAGTGTCTTGGAATCGGTTTGTGTACGTCAGCCATAAAGCTCTCCTCGGACAACTGTGCATGCAGGGCATTCATAGCACAGGGATATCTGTTTCTAGATGACAATAGTCAATTGGCATGTTGGTGTTGGATCTGCCAGCACGCAATGTTGCGTCCAGAGTCCATCCCTGCTACCTTCATCATAGCACTGCCAAAGTGCAAATCCTCAGAACACGCGAAGAAAGACAGCAAAATATGGCAAGGTTGAAATATATATATATATATAAATACATAGGATCATGCCAAAGGGAAGCAATGTATTCAGTTTCGAGAGATTGTAGAACATGGGACAAAGTGCCAGTCAGTCAGGTGTAGTATATCAACAACAGAGATTAGAAGCAGCCAAAGCCGGAGTGACATGCGGTGACATCTGGGGGTCCACACATAAGCCACGTTGGCAGAATGCCTGCAAATGAAATGCAAAACTGAATTAATGCAGGAAGATATTCCCTCAGTACAGTATTTTAGCCCACCGCCAATTCAGTCGCCATTCGCTCCGAGCCAACTTTGGTGTTACAATCCTGCCTCAAGTAGAGATGCAGTGGTTCTGCAGGCACGTCACTATTCGTTTCAGACTCGGCAAAGACAAAGACCTGGCCAGGAAAAAAGGAAGCTCCCCTTGAGGAGCTGCTCTTTGATGTCCATCCAAATCCCTGTGCACCTAAAGCAATGAAAGAAGCGCTCTCAACGAAAGAAGCCCCAAAGCAAAGTCTGGTACATCCGCCACCCTCTGGCACGTGGACCTCGCGAAGAATCTTGCCCTCGGGCATCTCTGGCGTGGGTGGCCCCACAGTGGATTGCCAGGCCATACGCACCACCTCGCCACTCACCTGCCCGACAAAGTGAGCTTAGGAAAAAAACTGTGAACTATTGAATGCATAGAACTTGAGAGCCTGGACATGCCTTGACTGTACAACTTCCTGTGAAATGAGTTCCAGCCTCATATTCTCCACGAGCCTTTCGATAGATTTTCAGCCACTCTCCTAAGTGTTCTGGGATCTGCCTGAATGGTCCAAGGCAGGGCCAGAGGCAGCAGAGGTGTTGGATCTCGAAACCCCAAATCAGCATTGCTTGCGCGTGGGGATGATTTGGGGATGTAGGGTGGCAAGCATCAGACATCTAGTCTATGCTGAATGCTCAGACTGTCTCAATACTCTGGACATCTCTGGACTACTCAAGATACCAAAGCAATATATTCACGTTCTGCTTCTGCCCCATGAGTAAGCTCATAACTAGCCAAGCAAGCGTTCCTTCTATACACAAAGCATGATTTCAACAATCTCCAATTAACAATTACCATCACAAAAATAAGCAATTATCCTGCCCAAAAAAAAGACCAAGGGCCCCAACATCTCCCTGGGACATCTGTTTTTCTGCATGAAATTACGGACAAACACCAAACAAAGCCCATTCACCGGCCTAGCAAAAAACTGCACTCTTTGATCGAGATCATCTCCAGGAACCGCCTTACACTGGGATTTCCAAAAAATTCACATTTGTGTTTGTTTGTGTGTGTCCTTTCTTGTTTACATTGTTTTTGTGGAGGGTTGGCCGCAAAGAAAAGGCCACTAGTAGCTTGAGCAGCTAGTAAATTTAAGTAGCTACTAGGCTTGGGACACAGATTAAACCTCAGGCTTCGCATGAATAATTTGCTTTTCATATTTTTTGGAACATTTTCGCAAAGAACAAGTCATTCTGTCCTCGTATTCCACCGCTGACATGGGACCCCGCTTCTTGAGGACCTCCATGCAAAGTAATATGCCCGAGATTTGGTGGCATGCCAAATTTTGCAATTCAATCACATATAATCACTGAGATCAGAAATCATTGGCGCACCTCCTCTTTAGAGGTTGCCAAATGGCCAAATATTCCTAAGCAAGACAGTTGCCAGGCATGGGCAAGAAGCAGAAGCAGGTTAATGAAAAGCAAATTGCGTCGATTTGGAAAGCATGTGTGAAAAAAAGAGGCTGATCTGAAAGGCAAAGGCACCTTGAAAGCCTTGCTGGATCGTTGCAATGAAGCCACCATCTTTGGACGGCATCATCTGGCGCAGCGAAGCAATGCGAAGCATACACAGCAGCGAGGCTTCGGGCAAAATGTGATATAAGAGACAAAAAATTGTAAAGCCCCTTTAATACAGGCCCCTTAAAGAGGCCGCTACCCTCTTTCTTTCCGTTGGTTTCAAGAATGGAGAACCGAATCAATTGTTCTGTCCTCATACTCCTCTCATGCCTTTACATGGAAGGACATGAAAAACAGTATGGACTGGCATCATTTCGCAGCGGCAAGGCTAGGTGCAAAATACAGATTGTGCGGCACATTGTGGTTGACTTAGGAGCCACACCTCAGGTCGTTCTGCAGCAGGTTTTGGTGCGGCCTGAGCAACCTCAGATTTCAGGTCGCGCAGAAATTGGCTTATCAATTCGATTCCATTTGTATGTGGATCAATTTGTCGATCAGAAAAAAGAAAACTGAATGGTCACAGAATGTCTCTTGTGATCACCATCTTAGGGCCCGGCTCCTCGTCGCAAAAACTCACTGATGCTGGCTCCTATCTGCGTATCCTGAGTGCTGCTCTTGAATTGCAACTGGTACTGCTCTTGAAAATCAACTAACAGCTGCTAGGGCACGAAGCAAAACAAGAACCTTTTTGATGAAATGAAATCAAGAGCTCATGGACCAGGAAATTGGACTGGACTATTCAATTCTGAATGAATGACGCAGTCGCCCGAAAGAACTGGATCCGGCTCCTCATTGCGAGGACCTTCTTCAGTAGTTCTTCTTGCTGCGCCATCTGGCCATGGGTCCAAGGGCTAGAATACTCAACTGCGGTCCATAGCTGCTGCAAAAGTGCAGCTCTTCAATAAATTTATTTATTGAATTTGACGGGCCACTGTGGGCTATGCCAAACTCAAGGATCGCATCAGGAAAAAGATCCAGGGAACAATCTGATGAAAGACAGCGATGCTCAAAACATGTGTAGGCCAAAACTGATGCGTGGGTGTTTAACACAGGACTGTCTCCAGTTTACTTCGCCTTTGGAGTTCTTGCGACGTCGGACCTAAGCTCCAGGTTGCAAAGCGGCTTTTGGCATCTGGATGACAGTCCGATTCAATTGTGAGCAGTTGAGAAATCTTTCTCCCGAGAAGCCTGAAGCGGTTGAAATGCACCAAACGGCAAGCTAAAGATCTCTGTTAGAAGGGATTATCCACAATTGCACTTGCAACAGGCAAGCGGAACTTCTCGTTTAGATACGTCAGACTTATATAGTGTGTTCAAGCTGCGCCCTAGAAAAGAGTACAGTATATACATCATCTTCTTCGGGTCGTACCTTCTCGCGTTGCTTGCGAGCGTAGGCCCCTTCAGGCCTGGCTTTTTTGTGAACTCAAAGCCCAAAAACAAGACTATTCTATGAATTGACTTTGCTTCCGTTTTCGAGTTCCTTGCGGTGGTCGCTTGTGTCGCTTCGTTCTAAGAGTTGCTTATGGTATCCCTCCTCTCTTGTCACATTGGCAATGGGAGTCTATGACAAGTACGTTTTCTCTTCATCTACGCAATGCATGTAACAAGACATCGCAGAGACATGCCAGCAATTACGCCCACGGGTCGAATGACGGTATCTGCTCCTTGGATGCATTCCGCTGACTCGGTGATACATATTTACTCACATTTCAGTCAACGTCTCAATTCCAGGGTTTCCATGCCTGTCGACTCAATGAACTGCTTGATAAAACAAAGACGCTTCTTAGTGCATGTGAGCTTCATCGACCTCAAACTGCGGAGGAGGTACATAAGTTTCTGGGCTCAAGCCAGCACCTTAGCCGTCAGACCAAATACCTTCTGTTCATCTCTGGCATGAATTGGCAAGAGTGGATGCACCTGGCTTCCGGCAGCTCTTTGAACTGCTCGCAGGGGCCTTTCAAAGCGGCTGATGGCAGAGTGGAAATGTTCTGCAAGGCAGGTTCATTTGACCACAGTATTTGAACAAGCCAACGTGCCGTGCGGTGTCAACTTATGTTAACTGTTAACTTTACATCAGCGAGTCACTGCGATAAAACGGACCCCAAGCCAGCCTCATAAGGCTTGGAGACAAATGTTCCCTGTAAGTTCAGCTGGAGGAATATATAGCTTATAATTACAAATCTCGATGAATCGAATGAAAGCCTTAGGATGTGACAAAAAAAAGAAATGCCAATCTTCCCTACAAAGAAAGTCCCAGCTGCACGGCGCCTCTGCAGGCCGGTACTCCCTCATCGGGTTGTCAGATTCCTGTGTAGAGGTGGCGGAGTGAGGCGAGGTGGCCAGGAAGAAATCAGACATCTGCCGTTCATAGCGTTTATATGTTTTAAGGCCCCTTCCCCCCCCTCCCTACTTAATTAAGTAGGCGCCTACTTAATTAAGCAAAAAACTGAGGTAGCTAGTACCTACAAGTAAGCTACTACATATGGACGCAGGATAGTTCACGCTCGCACTGTTCATTTGGCCCGTAGATTTTTAGGGACGCTTAACTTATCTGGATGGCGGCGCCTTGAAGGCGGTATTCAAATCCATGTGCAGGCGACTTGTTTCAGGCAACGAAAAAGTGATCCAAACATTTCCCTTTGAGGCCAGGCCTTGTGAGGGTTGGTTGGCTGAATTAAGTCTGAGCAAAAACTGGTGGTTGTCTTTTGCAGTTTGCTGGTTGAGTGCTTGGCTTTTACCATGCCTCTACACAGAGCGATGGTGGCTTAACTACCTGTCCTTATAAAAGCCCTTGCAAACGGTGCCCCAGCTGATCCAGTTCGAGTTCGAGTTCGAGTTCGAACCGGAGGCTGCAGGCCATACCCAAACAAATCCCAAAGAAGTAAAGCCCTCAGCCCCAGCAAGACCCAAAGTAGTGAAGCCCAAGCCAAAGCAAAGAAACTCCAAAGAAGTCAAGCCCTCAGCCAAGCCTAAAAGAACACCCTGCAACACTCCGTCCAAACCAACCCAAAGAAACCCCAAAGCTAAGCCGAGCCTGCAGAAACAGTAAAGAAGTGAGACCCCTAGCAAGACAAGCCCAAAGCAACCCTAAGTAGTGAAGCCCTACGCCAAAGAAACCCTGAAGAACTCAAGCCCTCAGCCAAGCCTAAAGGCGCCCGAAAGAAGTCAGACCCGAACACCCCGCAGCCCACCCCAACAAAACCCTAAGCAAGAGACGGTCACGCAAGAAGC